TGCAAGTTTCTCTTGATCTATTAACATATCTAAGTCAATTAGTTTTGGATATGTAGAAAATTCAAAAATTTCGCATAAAATATGTATATGTATGAGGGATAAAAATAGATAGGTTTAATATCACGAAAAACTTTAAATTGGTACACTTGTGATAAATTTACCTGAAACTAATTTTTTGATCACCAAAAATCCAAAACTGGTACACTTGTGATTATTTTACCTTCTGCTAGTTTCCGTTAAATTTTACCGTTAAATTTCTAAATTTGACAACACGTGACAGTTGATGGATGTACCAGTTTGGGGTTTTACCCTCCGTTTGTCACATGTGTACCAATTTGTGATTTTTTGTGATATTAATTCAATTTAATATAGGGTAAATTTGTCACAAATATACAAGTTTGAGGTTTTTAGTGACAAAAAAATTAGCTTATGGTAAATTTATCACAGTTGTACTAGTTTGAGGCTTTTCGTGGTATTAACCCAAATAAATACATTACAATAATTTGTTTTGCGCTACGAACCTTTTTATCCATCTCAATCATTTAATTGACTCTAATTTAACAATTCAATCCACCTATTTAACTTGCTAATATCGGCATGATTTCACTAACTTTTTTTCTCAAGATCAATAATATTCACAAAGATCTATATACTAAATCATTTTTCCTTAATAGTAAATTAGTCAAATAGAATAACAGAAGGAAACTTTTGTCATCTTTCTCCAAATTAAAATTTGGGATAAAAGCACCAAAAGTCCTCAAACTTTTTCGACTTGTAAAATCTAATTCCTGAACTTCGCACATGCAATCGAGTCCCTGAATTATTAGTGCTTTTTCCATAGTAATCCTTCATTAATAAGTAATGTGGAAAATTCCAGATGAACGTTTATCACTCAGACAAGTGCATTATATTATATTCGACTACTAGACTAAGTCCACCACATTCCCGTGGCAATTACTTTTTCTTCATTTTCATCCACTAGTGGATATATAAAATTCGATTGGGACAATAACATAAGTAGTCCCTAAATTTTGATTCAGTGTTTATTATCGACATAGACACCATACTTTTATATTGTACAATACGATCTCTGACTTTAGTTAATGTGCAATATCGTCTTTGGACTTTTAATTTGTTAGATGTGATCTCTGAACTATTGATGAATGTTCGATGTAATTCTTCTGTTTGTGTCATTTCCACATAGTTTAGAGACTAAATTGAATATTTATTAATAGGTCGAAAACCACATTGAACAAATTAATGTTATGAAAGTCCATGAACGATATTGTACATTAGGCAAAAATTCAGAAACTACATAAAATGGCTTTTTTATATAATTATAAGGTCAAATTAACGTTAGGACAAGAAATGATTATACGTCGCGCCAACCTAAGATTTCATTTCTATAGGTGATAGCTTTCCGACATGTAATACAAGCTGCCATGTGAGAGGACCTCCCGGTGGAGATAAAAGACGACATTGCATACTAAGTCAAAGTCAGAAATCACATATAATTCATTTTTTCTATTTATAATTATATGGTCAAATTAACGTTATGACAAGAAATGATTATAGGTAGTGCCAATCTAAGATTTCATTTCTGTACGCGACAACTTTCCGACATGTAGTACGAGCAGCCACGTGGGAGGGCCTCCCGGAGGGGACCACAGAGTGAGGCGCACGTGTCAGCAGTCTAGATGTCCCTCATAGTTGACCGTAGTTTGCGGGCATCTTTGTACGGAATGTTGCGTTTAATGTTTCTCGTACTCAATTCACTTTTCCACTTGGCGAAAAAAATTTGGGCAATCCACTTTCGAAATAAAAACAATAAATAATGACAAAAAAAATATAAAAGTAGAAACAAAAAGAGCTAAATTAAAAGCACTTTCAATCATCATGCTGCTAAATTTGGAATTTATTTGAATTAATTACTACTTGTTGGGCATCAACTAGTACAGGTGGTGGGGGAAGCAGAAACCTAGGAACTTTCCTCAAATTTATTAAACAAATCAAAAGTGAAAGATAAATTATTTTAGGCAAAAAACTAATCCTTATTGGAGCTTCTTTTATATATATAAAATCCAATGAAAGTCGATTTTCATGACCAGGATATTTTATTACAACTTTATTTTTAATACAATGCATGTGTGTACTTTGATTAACGCGATTGGAAATACTCTCTTCCTTCATACTCAATAAGACTGATATCTTTTTGATAATTTTCTTAAATACCCATTAAAATATAGTCAATTATTTTGCTCCATCAAAATAATATAATTAATTATTCTCTATGGTGTAGATAATGATAAAAGATTATCTCATTTTGCACTTCTTTCTCTGAACCCAAAATATTTCTTTGCGCTTTTAATGCCCAGGCACCCAATCCTTGCACACGCGCAAGTACACTCGTGCATGTGCGCGTGCGCATACACATAGAGGGCGAAAAGGGCAAGAAATTTATGTAAATACCTGAAGCTAAAATGGCTAACTAATGTAGTAAAATATTCCATCATTGAGTTAACAAACATGTGCCAAAAAATTAATTAATGAATGTTTCTTCGCGCAATTGTGTTCTTATGAAATGGATTTGCATCGCTAAAATTGAAGTACCCGTCGAAAAATTCAATGGAGGCAAAAAATTCTAATAACATTGAACAGGTCAACACTTTACGAAAGGGATAGGAAAAACATGACTGCTTGTGTTGCTTGTTCAATGCTGCGCTTCGTAATATTTATCTAGAGAAAATTGTCCAATCAGTCATATATCTATTTTACAAATACTAATTTAATCATAAACTTTTCAATTTTGACGATTTAGTTCTAAATCTTTGCGCAAAATTCTAATGTAGTCTTCTGGCTATTTTTTGCTGGAAATCACTAACATGGCGGTATGTTATGATGACTAGACCATCATGACAGCAATTTTCGGTGAAAATTGACCGAAAATGCTACATTGGAATTTCGTAAAAAGGTTTACAACTAAATTGATAAAATTGAAAAGTTTAGGACTAAATTAACATTCGTACGATAAGTTTATGACTGATTGGGTAATTTTCTTGATTTACTAGCTAAGCTTTCTTCTCTCATTTCTGTCTAATGTCTATTATGTTCTTTCTTCTTCTTATAAGTTTTCCTAAGCCTTTTGATTTGCATATGGTGTGGCATTTTTGAAATGCAAAGACAATTCACACCATTGTATCCTAATTATAATTAGGAGTTACATTAAGGTTCTATTGTCAGATTACTTAAGCTGAATTAGGATTTACCAGCTGCGTCGTCGTCGTCGTCGTCCGCAACTTTATTTTGATGATCAAGTTGTTATTAAATGTGAGAAACATATACCATCCTCATATATTTGCAACATCCTTGGGCACTAAAGCTTTTTACTTTGCCCACCTTCCATAACGTTCGATATAGTTGATTAGGTTCTGGATTAAGTCCACTAAATTAGTGTATGGTTTAGCATTAACAAATTGATTCTCACCATGAGTAATATTAAGTATATGGTTTTGCCCATAACTAAGGAATAGAATTAATACATGGGTTGTGTTTATCATTGGGTGTAGAAATTGATTATGGGAATAAAACGAATAATTAAACTCGAATATATGTAAATAGTTAGGGAAACCCAAGTTCTAAGATCTTGATTTTTCCTGCTTCACAAAGCATCCCGGATTTATTTCTGACTTGATTCTCATAATGAGATTTCTCACTCAAATTGAATGAAATCCATGAATAGTTTTATTCCTTCTTTATGTGATCAAAATCATGCTTAATTATGAGAAAGCCTGATATGATACGATTTTCCGATGCCAAAATGTCACCAATGACTAGATTAGGACTTTGATCACACCCATTTCCAAAGGTTTAGGACCCAATGGATGAAAATAAAACCTTTTAAGATTATTATTAGGTCTAATGCCAGTGGAAACAAAAACTTAGGTCTAACGCCAGTGCAAACAAAAACTTACACATTCACCATTTGATGGTTGACATGTGTGTTTGGAGTTAGTTTTGTAACCAAATTCTTCTACATATGCATCATCCAATGATGAGTGTGTAAAGTGTTTCTTACATCAATAATGGACCTTGACTAAAGGCCAAAATGTGTAGGGCTATTGTTGCACTTCTCTAAAAAGGAACAATTGATAATGCTTAGTTGCCCATGACAGAATACTAGGTTTTTAAGGGAGGGTGAGTTCAACTAGATGCGTTGATGACCTCAAAATTTTACATCCCCCTCTCAGATCTCCACCAATTATGAAGGCATTAGGCTTATGCTGCCCCTCCAGCAGATACACACCGATCTTGCCAAGAAAGTTCTTTCAACTTGCATTAAACTGTCGTTCTCTTATCAAATCTTTGCAACTAGTGAAGAAAATTGCCCTTTTTCCTGAATAAGAAGATGGTCAGCAATTTAATTTTATGGTCTATAACACTAAAAAGAAAGTTCGAAAAATGACTGCATTTCTCCTTAACCTCACTAGAGAAAAAGCGATTGATGCTTACGACTTTTGTCAAATCAGTCGTTTATCATGTAAGCTCGCTTTGACATGGTTGAACAGATTTATCTCGATCTAGAGTCAATCAGATACGAAGTGAGTGAATGATCCCAAAGAAGATGTTCTATGGAGAAATTTGTTTGTCTTAGTCATTTGGAAATAGAGGAATCAAAACTGGAATTCTACCATGAACTACCATCATAATTTCAGCTACATCATCCAACTGCCAAGCATCAGGAGGGTAAAAGAATTCTACAAAGTACTTACTGTTATTGCAATAACCACGAAGTACTACATATATGATATATGTAAAAGACATTGAAAGAACTAAAAGAAATTCATGGAGCATGCACTCCAATATCTGCAGAGACAGCACAAAAGGCTCATCGAAAACTGATAAAGACTTAAAGCACACCTTTCAGTAATTTCAACACCGAGATTAAATAAAAAGTATGAAGATATTACTTGGTATATGTTGACATGGAGTACTCACGAGAGACTGGGGCTTGCACATCAAGGGTTTACATTATAAGACTTGCATGTCTTTCTCGAGTAATTGGCGGAGATCGAGAGGACTGATGACATCGGAGTATATTGGAACGCGCATATATCTATTAGGTCTGATCATATGTTGTCTTCTGCACTGTGAATGGTTCTGTGCTGTCTCCAAAATAGACTAAGGGCAAGATAGAACTCGTCATGGGGACGGTCCCTTCTGCTTGGGCCGCTTGCGCTTCTTCTCGTAACTAACGCCCCTCGCTTTGGTCTGATAGTCACGGACTTCCTTCAAATAAACCCTCAAACCTCTAGCTCCGAAAGGGTTTGCCCCGGGGTCCCCGCCGTTTTCCTCATAGGCAGCTCGGAGCCGCCCGAGGAGCGCGTCAAGGCTTCCCCACGCCTGGCGGAGCGGGCATGGGCACGGACCAGGCGGGCTCGGGAGGCCGAAGAAGGGGCAAGTCTGGTGATGCACCTTGGTCTTGCCAAACTGGTCCTGGTAGCGGAGGAAGTCGAAGACATGCATGCCGGTACATGCGGCAAGCGGGATTGGCGGCCTGTGACTCCCCAAATACTGGCAGAAGGTGTTCCAATCCCGGCGCTTCTGGTTCTCGTAGCGGCTTAGGGTTGAAGAAGATGGTGAATCTGTGGTTGTTGGTCTGGTGATGGTGTTAATTGGAATGTCCATGTTGCTGAGTGAGTGATGATGATCATGGTGGTGATTGATGGGATAATCTGGTTCTGGATTTGGTTCCATAACAGTGAGATGTAGGAGCGTGGGTAGTTTGTTCTATTGAAGAGAGAGACCAATGAAGCACTCAAGCATGAGGTTATTCATTTTGCTACACATGGTTTTAGGATTATGCAGAGGAAGACAGTAGTCCACTTGAACGAGAAGTAGACATTCTAGTGAGCCAAAAATATTAGGGTGAGATTGGTTGATTCAAGAGGATGAGAGAATCTTTTCATGGTTTTGGATTGTAATGAAGAGAGGAACTTGGAGAGGGAGGAAGGAGAGAGAGGCGCGGCTAATTAGGGTATTGTGCTCTAGATAGTGAAGATTTTAAGGAGGAAGTTTGTCATTAAGAAATTAAAAAACCAATTGATAAGGGGGTTGTGGTATTTTCAACAGGCCTTCTGGTGTCTTGTCATCGTTAGTTCCAGTGCACACCTCTCTTCAACTAAATACATTGCCATTCTTAACATCATGGTGATTACAGGTATAGGGTTTGGGGAGGATCAAATGAGAAAGTAAAACTATCTATATTGTCATCAACAATCATCAATTGAGTATTAAGTGGAAAATAGATAGTCTACTATCAAAAACTCACCAAATAACTTTACAACGATCATGTTGATCGATTCAACTCAATCACAATATCGACAACTAAAAGTATGTAGAATCATTTTGGTCGATTCAATCAATCACAATAGTTGTCACACCACAAGTAAGGCGCTTTGCCTGGGTTCAATCTGAGGTCTCGCCGAACCCCCTCCCCTCCCCTTACCGTAGCTAAAAACAATTAATTAGCATAAACATAGGAATAACACATAGCTTTGCAGGATAGTTTCCAAGTTGTATCCAACAATGTATGGACGAAGGAAGTAAGCAGGGCATGGCAAAAAAGTCGTGCATAGTTTTTGAATTGTTAATTTGGCCCGTTCTTCTGTACATAACCAATAACTATATATACTACCAAGGTCACCCGCATCTAGCTAAGAACTGAGGCTTATGAAGTGTTGATTTATTGTATGACCCCGACTATATCTTAGAATATCATGCATAGTAATGTACCGAGCTAGTTTATATTTCTCCATGTTCTCTGATGTTGCATATACCATTTGAGAATGTTGGGGATGCAAAGACCGTTTGATAAAAACACATTTACGAAGTGAAAGTGACGAATTCTTGTCGAGTCATCGTTTGAATACTCATATATTGTATGGTCTACTGATTTATGCATCAATTTTTACAAATCTAGCATCGCTCTTTACTTGGTTTCTTTTGGTTTCTTAGCAATTTTGCTGATACATTCCTGAGAACACTTTTGACAACTGGGGGTGTCTTTCGGACATAGTGAAACGGAAAGTGTAATACTAGGTTTTGATTGTCAAAAGTATCATCAAACCATGAAAAGGAAGACTCGGACCATATCTTTTCGCAAAGATTGAGGCACAAACAGCATTAAAAATGAAGGAAGATTTCAACTTTTCCACTTGAAGCAAGGAATTGAATCCCCTCATTTGGAATCCCGATCCTTTGAATAAGGTTTCGCCAGCATCGAACTCCCAAAAAAGGAGTTGGTGACCTAAACATGGTGAGTTTGCTTTGTGCCAGAAATAGTAAACATGGAGCAGAATCCAATGTACTTGTGCATACTCCATGTCCTTAGCAACTAGTTATGTTTAGCAAATCAAAGAACCACTTTCCTAATTTCGCTGTACTTTTCTTTAAAAGATTACGCATCGAACATCGGAAAAAAACCCACTAATGTTAAATGAAGATACAACCCGTTGCGATAGGTGATTATTTACATTGAGAAGGACAAAGGTCAAGTTGAGCTTTATGAAAGGTAAATAATTTGCCCTATTGCTGTTAGGTAATAGTTTCGATAAAGAGGAGTTCTCTTTTTCTATGAATTGGAGTGTTGGCTTGTTGCCACGACACTGTATATTAGCTTTTCCTATAGTTTTACCCATCCAAAACCGTACTTTCTCATTAAATATGTCGATCCTTAATACTATGGTTGCTAGAAAGATTTGTATAATTACAACTGGCGTTAAATCATGATGATTAAGATGATCTAATGTACCGTTGCTACAATATTATGAAGAGACTGAAAATGCCATAGGATTTTATTGATCACATAATAACAAAGAAAAGTATGTCCACTTATTAAACCTATTGAATTGGAAGTGTTGGACTCCTCTCATGTAAACCTATTATCTTCTCTCTAGCAAAGACAATGTCAATAATTGTTTTCTTCAAATTTCAACAAAAGAATGAGCAAATTAAGATTTCTAAGGTCATACAATGAGGGGAAAAATGTTATTCTCCATTCTCACATGTTGAACTTTTTGGTAATTATGATAATATGACTATTCTTATAATCATGACCCACAACTCATTGCCCAGTTTTCAATGTCTACAAGAAACCTAGTTGTGTTTGACCAAAAAAAAAAAGAAACCTAGTTGTGACCACGTTTCGACACGTGGCAAGGTAAACGCTTATACTTACAGTGTCATAGGAATTTTTACTGTTTCTTTTCTCTATCTAGTGATTTAAGGGGTGAAAAGAGAAACCCTAGGGCTATACTCCAGCAGAGCCTATTTTTGTCGTGAGGAAAAATATGGGACATCGTCATTTAATTATATGAACTGCATTTTGTGAAATCGATTTGTCTCATTTTATAACTTTCGAAAGTAACAGTTATGGGAATTTTTGTCTTTCCCTTCAGAATCATTCTTCATATGCCATTGCTAGGGTGACTTGAAGTCGTCTCGTAGGATTAGATTTGTCTAAAGATTAAGTTATCGCATGGGTGGCGCTATTTCCACCCCTAAATAAGTAAATTCACCCCCTATTTACACTGAAAAGACAAAATTGTTCTCAATCTTTCAATTGCAATTTAAAGTGATGGCGCCTCTCCTTTTCTCTAGTTTTTTTTCTTTTTTTGTTTAGGATAGTTACCATAATTAAACAATTCACATGTTTTGTTTTTTAGCATATTAAAGAAAAGTGCATTATCATATATTCCTATAACATTTTACATGCTCCGTATAAAATTATCTCGCTAATAGTAAGTAAAAAAGACATCCTTTGATATAGTATAAATTGAAAAGTCTCTTCTTCATCATTGATCTTATAACAACTTATCTACTTTTTGTCCATGTTATCTCAAAAGGACACTTTCTTGGCGAACTTTTTATTAATTTCATTAGTCTTAAATATAGATCGTTTCTTTATTTAGTTTATCAAAGAATATATCTTTTTTCCTTACTATATTGGTGAGATACCTTTATACAGAGCACGTAAAACATTAAGCCTATGTTTGGTAATCCGAATTTGAGTCCAGATAGGATAACAAAATATCATATCTTGTGTTTGGCGATGTATTCTGGACCCAACATACCCGGATAAAATGCTGGATAAGAAATCCAAGCATTTTCATAGATGATATTAATTTTCGCTGATCCAAAATAATGATTATTCAATGGCATTTTCAAAAAAAATTCTTACTTTATGCAATGTTTTGATTTTCATCTACTTAACAATTTATCCATGAATTTAAAAAACAACGTAAAAAAGAACTAGATTTCTTGCAAATTTCTCTTTTCGACAAAACTAATTTTTATGAAAGTAATACTTAACAATAAAAAAAAAAACATAGTGCCTTTAATATACATGGAAAATCTACAACAAACAAAAACTACATATATGAAATTCTTAATAATGATAAGTAGATCCTATACAGATATAGAAAAACTAAAAAAAGGAAAGTAAATAAATTTGGGACTGGGAATTGCTCTTGGAACCTTTTTAGTCCGATTGGCAAAATCCCATGACGTGGGATGCCTGTAGGAGGTCTCCCTTACCCTAGAACCTCTCTATTCTTTATTACTCAGTGACGAAAATCCTCATTCCATGTAAAACAAAGCCAGAGGAGCAAGTCTTGTATGGACCCGATCAATGATCCCACATGATCAATGGACATGATGATATGAGAAGTTCGACGACCATGGCAGTGCCTTCAGATTGGGAAGTTCGGCCACCGCACAGCACAAGTCTTGCTCATATGACCAGTGACATTGTTGGTGCCGGTCGTCCATGGCCAATTGAAGGAGAAAGATCCCGTAGCGATGGAAAAACAAAGCCAGAGGAGTAAGCCCTGTATAGATCCCGATCAATAATCCCACATGATCAACATCCGTGACAGCTCCAATTCATAAAAACCTCGGTCTAAGCAAGATTTTGCTATTTGAATTTCAGCCGAAGTCCGTCGGAGTTCATGTTGTCGGGTTCACAGATTAAAATTTGAGCTATATATTCACGTCGATCCTTATAGCCAAAATGTTAATACTTCCATTAAATTTGCTTAAAATTTTTAATTCGTCGTTAACATTCATTGGGCGTCATTTTCAAGTTTGCAAACACTTCCATATATGTCTCCATAGTAAGTGACGGGTTCAAGAGTATGACAAGATACCCCATCACCCGAAGCCTGCACGCCCCTATGTAATAGCACTCAAAAGACCAAAATACACACAAACCTCAATCAGTCTACCCAAGTGGAACAGACCTTTTCAAATCGGTTCTTTTCTGAGGCCAAATACCATATCGATTCAACTCAAGATTCCGGTTCGGTTCTGGTTGAAACCTACCAGTGTGTGCTTTTGCTGCTTCGAACTCTAAGAATACAAAAGTATGCTCACTCGGAAAAGATGAAGCATTTTAGTTCCAAAAAAAAAAAAAACCAAGCGAAGCTGAAAATACGGGGTAGCTCCGAGTTGCCTATTTCAGCTCGGGTTGTTTCGTATATTTCACATGGCCCGTAATGTCCCGGTTCCTTCATGGTCCTACCGATTAAGCTGCATGTAAATGTTTTCTCACATTTTCCCTTGATGAGACTTCAAAGCAGTCCACTACATTATTTCCCATCTTCAATGAGCGATGATCTAACTTCCTACGTAAAATAAACATTCCGTTACAAGAATAGCACCCCTATGATAATGCGCCACGAGATAAAGAGGGCTCCGCAACTAATGTCAACGAGACCAGTTTTTGTGATGAGATACAAAATTCAAAATTAAAAAAAAGAAAAAGAAAAGAAAGAACACCTGATTTGGCAAAATTTGACGCACAGTCAACCTATAAGTGAAACTCTCACCAAAATTCGTCCGTCATCTATAATATGATGCCATTATATAGAGAAAGATAGCCGTCGAAGTGGTGACTAGAAGTTCCTGCAAATTCATACATTGTCATCAGAAAGCGCCATCAAAGACTTGGGACATATGGAAACAAAGATGGGCATGATGAACATGAAATTAATCGCGGAAAGCAATAGATGTGTATTCATTCATCAGAAAGGGAGCAGAATGTAGTAGAGCACTTGCATTTATTTGTTGATATAGCAGCTTAGTGAAGGATGTTCATCAAATGAATAAAAGATATGCAGGACCTTATAGTGTGCTTAACAGATTCTAATGTGAGTCAAAATGGTAATCAATAGTATGGTGATACCATGGTCCACGTAGCCGAATAAAAGATGCATCACAAGGTCCATCACAATTGTCAAAGAAAAGAGAAGAAAACAGTACCTGGTTATTGTAAAGAAAAGCAGGTATAAAACTGCCTACGAATTCAATCAAGTTCAGCAGACCAGTATATGCCTGCAAACACACAATGCAAAGCCATTAGTGAGACTGAGTTGTTAGATTGCAAAACAAAGACTATTGTCAATGCTAGAGCAAACAAAAAAATAACTTCTAGAAAGATGATCTTATGACCAATAATGCAATGGTGGGGACCCAAAAAAGGCATGTAAGCATTGTCAAATGCACTGTCCCTAAGCTCAATAATGTCACTATTATCTGTCTTAGCTAGGTAAGGCAGAGAGGGGTTAAACAGGTGTTCAGTTAGACTTGCAAGTGGAACCCCATGGTTAGTGCCTAAGCAGGAGTTGCCTCTTCCAACTGGTCCCACCGTTGGTCTCACAACAGATTCATCCTAAAAGATCTTTTCAAGCCTGAGACGTCAATAACATTCACAACTTCATATAAGACCATATAATTGATAGAGAAAAATTACTTCACCAATCTTTGAAGGTGTATGTCGTCTAGAAGAATCAAAGGCACAGGAATCAAATGATCATACCGCAATCATGTTCTTCAATCAAACATAGATGTGAAATTTGAGTTTGCTAAGTTTCCTGCTTGTCAGCAAACTCAGCCACAGCGTTATAGTTTGCCTTTGATCCAGGATACCATGCTATAATACTCAGTGCAGTGGTCATTGCCCAAAAATTTCTTACAAATCATCCTGGGGTGATGACTATATGCCTAACCATGTCAGGACCCTCTGACAAGTCAACGTGAAAAGTTTGACAGTCACTTTTTTAAGCGCCTTTTTCACCCTAAGCTGAATGGTCCTTCCTTTGAAGTGGCTAACTAAATGCCAACTATGGCTCGCAATAATCTATCCTTTGAAGCATCTGATGAAGGTCGAAAGGAGATAAACATGAAATACACCAGAAAAGACAACATACCAGAGAAGAAAACGCGATGCAGCCAAACACTAATGCAAGAGACCTAAGCAGCCGTTTTCCCATTCGCATCCCTCTCCCTGGATCCTCCTCACCGTCTTCCTGCAGTCAATATCAATTCAACTTTCTGAGTAACAGTGACACTAACTTCAGATAGTTCTTCTAACAACACTAATTTGTGAGAAGATTTTCGAATCAAAATAAGTAGGCATATACAACAAAAAAGTAAACCAAGTATGCAATGCAGATAACTTGGATGAAGGAAACAAAAGGAGGAAAAGACAGATCTAAGCTTCACATAGAACTTACCGTAAAGGTTGGTGATACAGGCGGTTCAAATGATTTCAACTTCTCAAAGATCCGGTACACAAATACAAATGCTAAAAATTGCAATGGTTTATATTCAGCATTCCGTTTGATTACGATCCAAGCTGTCTGCAGAAAATGAAGTAGCTAACTCAAATTAGATAAATGAAGAAATGTCAGTAGAGCAAAGAGTGGCCTCCAAGGAGAATTATCACATCTAAAGCTGTTGAAAACCAGATCCGGATATTTTAGTTAGCAGTAGAAGTTCGATTATTTTGTTTCCAGATTTTCAGGATTTTGTTTGTTAGCTTTTAGGAATTTGTTTCCTAAGTTTTAGGGTGCTGATAATTTTTTTAAACCAGCAGATACTAACCAGATTTATGGCTAGTATATCTGGCTTTTTGCTTCGGTAGTTAGCACAAAATAATTAGCTGGACGAGCAGCTATAAAAGGCCGGAGGCCTCATGTAATTTCGTAGCCCTTTTTGGAGAATAAAACTTAGAACAGTTTCTCCTAAATTTCTACATGGTATCAGAGCTCGATCTGGACCATTCTTTTCTACCACATCTCTGAGTGTTTCCACCATGACAAAATACCCTAGAGCCACCATGGCAAGCGAGGTTGAGAGTGAAACCTCAGACCCTAAAGCTCAGAACTCTCCTTTGATTACCCAACCTATCAATGTATCCGAAGGGGGAACTCTTCTCATCACCAGTCATAAACTTACCGGTCACAACTTCAATCAATGGTCCCATTCTGTCATGATTTTCGTTTGCGGAAAAGGTAAAGAAGATTACCTAACTGGAGTTGCCGTACAACCTGAGGCGACAAGCCCAAACTATCGAACATGGAAGGTGGAAAATAACATGGTGATGTCCTGGCTGCTGAATTCAATGACGAATGAAACAGGGGAGAATTTCATGTATTACCAAACAGCGAAGGAGATTTGGGATGCTGTTCATGAAACTTATTCCAACAAAGATAACACCTCAGCCATCTTCGAGATCAAGGGCATTCTTCATGATCTAAGGCAAGGGGAATCTTCAGTCACTGATTATTTTAACCAACTCATGCGTCATTGGCAGCAACTTGACATGCTGGAAGATATGATGTGGAGTTGTCCTGAAGATAGCAAGCGGTACAAGCAGATTCAAGATCGAGAACGCATCTATAAATTTCTGTTAGGCTTGAATCAAGAGCTTGACGAGGTACGTGGACGAGTTCTGAGCATAAAGCCCCTACCTAATGTATGAGAAGTTTTTGCGGAGGTCAGGAGAGAAGAGACTCGGCGAAAGGTGATGCTTGGTTGTTCAAAAAACCAGACCAATCCAGAAAATTCTGCCTTAATAGCCCGAGGATCTCAACCATCCTACAGTCGAGGCACTCAGTCAAACAACAACAACCAGCGAAAGGGTGGTCGTCCGTGGTGTGATCATTGCAAACGGACAGGTCACACAAAAGACACATGCTGGAAACTTCATGGTCGGCCAGATGATTGGAAGCCATCAGCCTCACGTCCTACTCAAGACCGGGAGAGCAGAAGCAACATAGTCCAAACCGAAACAAACGCTTCGGTAGATTCGAGTCCCTTCAACAAAGAGCAACTGGAGATGCTGAAAAAGCTGCTACAGGAATCAGTTCAGAAGGCAACCCGTTCAGAAGGGGTTAGTACAGCAACAATAGCTCAACGAGGTAATTCTCTAAATGCCTTTAGTGCTAAACAGGAGAAAATCACCTCTTGGGTTGTAGACTCGGGAGCATCCGACCACATGACCGGAGATATCACAGTGTTCAACGAGTACAATCCATGTCAAAACGGCACTAGCGTTCGAATTGCTGATGGTTCTTGCTCAAAGGTGGCTGGTGTTGGATCAGTGGTTATTTCAAAAGATATAACACTGAATTCAGTATTATTTATTCCCAAACTCAGCTATAATCTTCTCTCCATCAGCAAGTTAACCAAAGATTTAGGCTGCACTACTAAATTTTTCCCACACTCATGTGAATTTCAGGTTTTGAACTCGGGGATGACGATTGGCAGTGCTGAGATGGATGCGGGCCTCTACCTTCTGCGAGTTAATGCCTCAGAATGGAAAAACAAGAAGATGTCATGTGTAGCATCTCGTGCTAAGGAAGAGAGTGAAGTAAGATTGTGGCACTATAGGTTAGGTCATCCAAATTTCTCGTACTTAAAAAGGTTGCTACCTTCTTTGTTCGATAAAGATTCAATAAAATTTCAATGTGAGGTGTGTCAATTATCCAAACATACTCGCAGTTCATACCCTTTGCAACCTTATAAGTCTTCTCATCCATTTCACATGATTCATAGTGATATTTGGGGACCTTCTTGTGTCAATAATATTACTGGTTCTAGGTGGTTTGTTACCTTCATTGATGATCACACAAGACTCACTTGGCTTTTTCTGATGAAAGAAAAATCAGATATTGGCCGAATTTTTCAAACCTTCAACCAAATGATCCAAACCCAATTCAGCACAAAAATCCAAGTTTTCAAAACGGATAATGGGAGAGAATACTTTCACTCACAGCTCGGGTCATATCTAAATAGCCAAGGTATCATACATATTAGCTCTTGTGTAGAAACTCCACAACAAAATGGAGTGGCGGAGAGAAAAAATAGGCATCTTTTGGAAGTCGCCCGTTCTCTTATGATAGCCACTCATGTTCCTAAACATTTTTGGGGAGAAGCAGTGTTAACAGCCACATATCTCATCAATCGTATGCCTTCCCGTGTTCTAGATTTCCGAACACCATTTCAAAGGCTACTTCATACCTACCCACATATTCGTTTTGCCTCACATATCCCACTCAAAGTATTCGGCTGCACAACATTTGTTCATATAAATCAGCAACATCGCAGCAAGCTAGATCCTAAGTCCCTCAAATGTGTGTTTCTAGGATACGCTCCAAATCAAAGTGGATATAAGTGTTATTGCCCACAAACAAAGCGTTTTTATACCACCATGGATGTTACCTTCTTTGAGCACCAGCCCTTTCACTCCAAAAATATCATTCAGGGGGAGAGTTGTGAGGAATATTATTTTTGGGACACTTCTCAGTCATTCGGGTCACAACAAACAAATTCTCCTTGTCTTTTGTGTCTACCCATTCAAGATGCTACACAAGACAAAAATAAAGAGGTAATTGTCTACTCTAGGCGCAAGACTCAAAAGGAGTTGGAGGACCGTACTACATCAAGGCCGGCTCAAGAGACAGATCCGAGTTCAAGACCCACTATCGATGAAGGTAATGCTTCTGCAAACTCAGAAAATTCTGCTATACTTGATGATCTTAATCAGCCTATTGCTCTTAGGAAGGGGAAGAGACAGTGCACTCAACATCCCATTAACAACTTTGTGTCTTACGAAAAGTTGTCTCCGAAATACAAGGCATTTGTTTCAACGTTGAGCGACATTCAAATTCCCAAGAATATCCATGAGGCACTTGCTCAATCTGAGTGGAAAAGAGCAGTTCTTGAGGAAATTCATGCACTTGAGAAGAATAAGACTTGGGAATATACAGAATTGCCAGCTGGGAAGAAATTGGTGGGATGTAAGTGGGTCTTTCTGAGTTAAGCACAACGCCGATGGTAGTGTTGATCGTTTCAAGGCAAGGCTGGTCGCTAAGGGATTCACACAATCATATGGAATAGACTACGAAGAAACCTTCGCTCCGGTGGCCAAACTAAACTCCATCCGAGTGTTGCTCTCTTTTGCAGCTAACTTGGACTGGCCCCTACAGCAATTAGACATAAAGAATGCCTTCTTAAATGGGGAATTGGAGGAAGAAGTCTTTATGGAGGTCCCACCTGGAATTGACACTAAAGAGAGCTTCAACAAGGTGTGCAAACTCAAGAAATCCCTATACGGCCTAAAGCAATCACCTCGTGCTTGGTTCGAGAGGTTAACAAGGGTCGTTGAGAAGCTGAACTTCACTCAATGTCAAACAGATCATACAATGTTTGTCAAGAAATCAGATGAAGGTAGAAGAGCAATAATGATCGTATACGTCGATGATATAATCCTAACTGGTGACAATCTGGAGGAGATTGGAAAACTGAAGAATATCTTGGCACAAGAATTCGAAGTTAAAGACCTAGGTCAACTCAAGTACTTCCTAGGTATGGAGGTAGCTCGGTCACGGAAAGGGATTGCAATTTCCCAACGTAAGTATACTCTTGATCTCTTGAAGGAAACCGGTATGCTTGGGTGTAAACCAGCTGACAACCCCATGGATTCTACCTATAAAACCGAGATGGAAGAAGAAGGACCATTAACGGACAAAGGGAGATATCAAAGATTAGTTGGCAAACTAATCTATCTCTCGCATACTCGGCCAGAAATTGGTTTCGCAGTAAGTATGGTTAGTAGATACATGAACCAACCAACAGAGAAGCACCTGCAGGCAGTTTTTCGAATCTTCACGATACTGAAGAGAAGTCCTGGAAGAGGGCTTTACTTTAAGAAAACGAGAGGAGAGAAACGTGGAGATTTTCATGGATGCGAGATTGGGTGGATCTCTCACGGACCGAAGGTCAACAACGAGTATTGTACCTTCGTATGGGGCAACATGGTTACTTGGAGAAGCAAGAAGCAACCCGTTGTTGCTAGGAGCAGTGCTGAAGCGGAGTTTAGAGCAATGTGTCAAGGAATATGTGAAGGCATGTGGCTGAGAAGAGTCTTAAATGAACTAGGATTCACTAATACCAATCCTATGTTATTATTATGTGACAACAAAGCTGCTATTGAGATTGCCAAGAACCCGGTTCATCATGATAGAACAAAACATGTGGAGATCGATCGGCATTTCATCAAAGAAAAACTTGATGAAGGAATATTGAAGCTCTTGTATGTTCCATCCAATCATCAAACAGCGGATATACTGACCAAGGTTTTATCCAGAAATAGTTTCGAGACTCTAAGGTGCAAGCTGGGTATGATAGACATTCATAACCCAGCTTGAGGGGGAGTGTTGAAAACCGGATCCGGATATTTTAGTTAGCGTAGAAGTTCGATTATTTTGTTTCAGTTTTTCAGGATTTTGTTTGTTAGCTTTTAGGAATTTGTTTCCTAAGTTTTAGGGTGCTGATAATTTTTTAAACCAGCGAGATACTAACCAGATTTATGGCTAGTATATCTGGCTTTTTGCTTCGGTAGTTAGCACAAAATAATTAGCTGGACGAGCAGCTATAAAAGGCCGGAGGCCTCATGTAATTTCGTAGCCCTTTTTTGAGAATAAAACTTAGAACAGTTTCTCCTAAATTTCTACAAAAGCCAAAACAAATATTTCAAATGCCTTTAACAAGACAATCATGCCTTGCCTTATGCATCTATAAAGTATGGCCACAGCCATATGTCATGGAGAGTGCCTTACAAATAAGTTAAATGGTTATTTCATCGTAACCTCCAAGAGGTTTTAAAATTGAAATATTGGGCATTTTCCTCATTCATTTCTTATGAAAGGAACTGCTCCAGAAAGATCTGCTCATCTCTTATAACAAACTGAACTAGAGACACCACAGCCAAAAGGGCACTTACGAAGACAGCAGATATTGCCATGTTGATGCGCATATCTTGTACACTGGACTTGGTGAACCTGAAAAAAGGGAGGGGAAAACAGAAGTCAATGCAATACCAATGGCAAAGTGCAATCAGAAGAAATTCAATAAGTGATAGCGGTTCAACCAAAAAAGAGAAGCCAGAAACATATATTAAAAGAAATACATTTGACATGGACATATACTTATGTGGCAAGCAATTGAGTCCTAAAACTTCTGACAAAATTTTAAAAAAGTCCTTGTTAAACCTAGACAGAAATCATAGTTGCGGTGCTATGTGGGATATTGGTCATCTTTAATTAATGGAGTTGACATAAGGACTTGACTGAACTTTTCAAAGCATTAAAACTCAATTGCTCATTGAGAAGTTCTATAACTTTAATTGCAAGCAGCACATAAGCTTTAAAGCTTCTAGTGCCCTTATCTAGTTCGATTACAATTATAAAGTCCACCAATAATGTATTCCTCACAGGGAAATGCACTGATGGAATGATGAACACAAACCTCGGTCCCCATGGTACAACGGGTTGCTTATCAGCATATTTGATATCCTTCGAGACCTATTTAGGAGCAATCGAGCAAAATTGACTCACATAAATTCTATCTCTTTCAGTCCAAGTATTTTAAACATACAGAGAACATACAACTCATGCACAATGGGAATTATACCTTGAAAGAACCAAATGTGACACCCTTTTTCCTGTTGCTTAATTGTGCCATCATCACTTTGTCATATGCTTTTTCCAGCTGAAACATTATTAATCCCCAATAACCAAAAGTATAATGAGTAAATTAATATGTTTCGATTGCAACTCAAAATAAAAAGTGAGACATACTTGGGAAGCAGCTGCTTCATCACCTCTTCTCTCTGCATCCTTTCGTTTCTTTGTATATGCTGCTTTAATCATGTCAAATCCCTCAATGGGACTGACGCCCAAAACCTAAATCAAGAACAAGGAATTAGACATCTCTATATAAAGATGAGCTTATTAAGTGTACCAAAAGTCCTAAAACTTATAACCGTAGAGCAATCAAATCCTAAAAGTTTCAAATAGTACCAAAATGCAGTCAAATCTCAAAACTTTCGAGTGGTGCAATCAGGTCATTATGTCAGTTTCATTTGTTTCAAGTGACGAAAAATTCAACGTGGCTCTTTTCGTTGTTTTCTCTTTCTTTTCTTTTTTTTTTATTAAGGTCCACCCACATTCCCTCTGGTTGAGGTCAAGCATCAAATCTATCTCTGATGACAGTTGTTGACCAGAGATGGAACACTAAAATGATGACCAGGGAAGGCTCTGGAGTAGAAGACTGGTTCCAAAACCCAGAGGCAAAGGCTAAAGTCCGAGACTTCCGATACAAAACGCGGTTCAGACTGCAAAACCGAGCCTACTGCTGCGAATTTATGCAAATGGACGAAAAATCAGAAATAGAGTATGGCTCTGATGGGTTCAGGATCAACGAACAAATGATGCCAGAGAAAGAAGCAAAGAACACCAGAAAGAGAAGCGCGGGCGGGAGACTGCATTGCGCACCCGGTTCTACCCAGTGATAAAGTTTTTAAGGAAAAAACAACAGAAAGCACTTCAATTGTACTGATTTCACCATTTACAGCGAACACTGATAATAAAGCTTGCGACTTGCGAGCATGGTAGAATCATTTTAAAAGCTAGATACGCGAAACCATATGGAGATCACAATCACACGTAACCTTACCTACCAAAACCCTCAACAGTTTCAAAAACCCTAATGCAAACACCGTTCATTCACAGTACACTTTGCTTCAAATCACAAGAGCTAGCGAGAAACGAAACTCGAGAGATAGCGCCGTAACCTCGTAAGGGTTGAAGTCCGCGTTGGGATTCGAACTTCCCGACGCTGCAGACGAAGAAGAAGCGGCGCAGACCACCCTGACGCTCCACGGAATCGTTCTGGGGAAACTCCACGAGGGCCGAAATGCGGCGAGCTTACTGCCCCCCGCCCACGAGAGAAATTTTCATCAAAGGCGGAAAGAGAGCGAATCGTTACCGCAATCAGAACCCAAAAAGGAAGGCTTTTTACTCACGTGTGGCGTCGCGAAGGGAGATGCAGGCCCGGCGCGACGGAGAACGCCGCCATGGAAGTCGCCATTTCCTCGCCGGCGGAGAAGGAAGAGATGACGACGGTGGTGGTGGTGGTGGTGGTGGTGGTGGGTTCTGAACTCCGGAAGAAGATGACGAACAAGAAACTGATCAGAAACCAAGAAGGGTTGTTGACTTGTGAATGGGCTTGGGCTTGGGCCTAATGTTTCTTTTCTTCTTTGTTTTGTTTTGGGCTGACTTTTGGGCTCCCGGCCCGTCGCTCCTATCTCGCCACGATGCGAATGAAGAGTTAATACTGACGATGCACCTGACATGCATAATCACTGTTTATAATTTTCCACGTGAATTTTTTTTTATCTTTTTCGTTGATTAATATAAACATTTTATTCGTGTTACAGTTATCTGTGACTGATAAATGAAAAACCATAGTTACTTTTCAGTGAGTTGGTTTTACTTTATCGTTTATTGTACTCAATTGACACCTCTAGGCTCTGATATGTAACTGAAGACAATCCGCACAAAACCTTTGTCAGTATGATATTGTCTGCTCCAGTCACGACTCACTCGCATCTAGAAGGTTGTAAAACTCGTTGTGCTAATTTAAAGTTGTGTGAGATTTATGTATTAGTGCAACAGCCTAAACTTGAACGATGTGGATCAGAGACAACATATCTAAAACTCAAAATTCATACCTTGGTTCTAATACCACCATATGCTACTCATCTAGCCTCATAGCCAACATGATATTGCTTGTCATAGCCGTAGCTCAATCGCAACCTCTTGGCTATAAAATACTTTGTGCTAGTTTGAGGTTGCACAATAATTATCTGCTGGGGCAACAATCCAATATGGGATCGCAATTGACATATCTTAAGCTCAACATCCCCCACCCTCATTTTCATATTACAAAAGGCAGCCCACACGAGCTCGAAGTTAAGAGATATTCAACCTTCTTCTTCTAGACTAATGTAAAAATTAGTTTGGGAAGAATAAAACCCGCGATGGTTCGGCTCAACCATTAAACTCCATCCTACGCACTTGTTCTTGTATTATGCATTGAATTAGATGTGTTACAAATGAATAGGAGAAACATCCTTCCTGAAATCTAAGAACATCTCAAGTTTGATGGCCAAACATCATGGTACATACAAAGCTAAAAGCTACTCTTTGGGAAGGAAAAGGAGAGGGCGTAGGTGGAGTGAATGTCATCTTAGCCTTGTTCCAATATACCAAACTAGTTCTATTTTGGATAAATGAAACGGAAAGTTGGATTATTTTAACCACAATGTATTTTCCTTTTTGGAATTAAATACTCCGATGCAATGCTTCAGTCTCCTTGGGCCGGCTGTAAAGAGGGGGGTCGGATCATGCACAGAATCTTGCCTTTATAAAAAGTTAATCAAAAGCTATATATCACGTCGAAGGCGTTGTTTAATTGGATCATTTGGCTATGAGTCAAAATTGAAATCTTGGAGCATGCCAAAGGACGAGATTTGGGTCATAATGGGTTTGAGCTTTGACTTCAGCAGTTTTCTTCTTTTATCATTATTATTTTTAAAGATAAATGCCTTTATTAGTTAGAAAGATTTTGTTTAATTGGTAAGGAAACTTAAATTTTAGGAAGAGGAATAAAATAAGCTATGGTTGGTGCGAAATGAGCTCGATGGTGATGTTTACTAATTAGAGATTTCGAGGTAAGTTATACAAAATTCCCCTTTTAAAATTTGTCATGGATTGTTCTATACGCAATGGATTTTTAGCCATTTTCGCACGTATTGAGTTTGAGGCCACGTTACGAATATAAGTCCTTGTACGCACCGAGAGGTGGTGTTAAAATATAAAACACAGTTATATGACTTTAATGATAAACTACTCACTAATTTTCAACAATGTGATTGATGAAATGAGAGCATTCAAGGAGTTTCTATGTGGCTAATGGGAAATTAGGGAGATCAGCATAATTATCCAAGAGGGCCATAATGCATTAGGGCATGAAGCAAACTAGACACCATATTCTCATAGTGGACAACTTCTTTTCTTCCCTTTTTCTTTGCTTTTTTTCATGAGTAATCATTTTCTTTGAAAAAAAAAACCACAAAAAATCTCAAACTATGCTCCCTCTGGCACATTTACCCTAAACTTTTTTTGTAATATAAAAAATCTAAAACTGTGTCTACTGTGACATATTTACTCTAAACTTTTTCTTATGACATAAAAAATCCCAGATTTGTACCTATACGACACATTTGCCTTCCGTCGAAATTCCATCAAATGATTTTTCATTCTAAACAACGTCGTTTTCATTTTATTTACGTCATGTCAACACTGTTTGTTTTATGGTTTCCATGTAGGTAGATTTTTAACGGTTCTCACTAATATAACTTTGACGGAGGATAAATGTGGTACACATATACAAGTTTGGAATTTTTTATTTCACAATAGGCATAATTTGGAGTTTTTTTTTATGGCTTTTGCCCTTTTTATTTTATTTTATTTTATGAAGGACTCTTTTATGAGTAATCATTTCAACTCGAAAAGCAGAGACAAAAAGGAAGATTTGCCACTACGAACATTCAGCAACCAAGATGGACAAGGAGTCAGCACAAACTTGACTTTAGTAATCCTGTAATGATAGTTCGAAAACTTGCACTAAAATGGGTTTGTTAAATTATCTGATAAATTCTAATCAAGTATTAATCACATAGTGATACTCATTTAAAGGTATTTAGCTTTTTTAAACCTTCATTGGAGTTTCTCATTCTCTCTTGACAAGCACTTCACTACCTCCCTATCCCACATGTATCAGGCAATGAATAAGCCACCTTTAGCAAAAACACAAATTTTGCCATGATTTAGATCTTCCATTTGAGCTATTTCAAGCACTTGAGAGTATACTGTTGAACTTTTGACAAGCATATAAGTATTTACATACAAACTAACTCAACACAAGCAGCATACATAAGGTTTCCGAAAGACGCCCTTAACTTAGTTTGTCATCACCTCTTAAAAGACTTAAGAGCGATCATAAATAAGAGCACCTAAAACAGCAATTTTGGGGTCTTAGTGATTTCCTTCGAATTTCATATGCGAATTGTTTGTAAGCAAAATAATTGAAAGGTATAATCCGTTCAGCTATTTCTTTTTATAAGTCAAGGAAGTGCGTTTTAATTAAATAGGTAAATTTAGGTCCCTTGAAACACATTCCACTTAACATTGGATCATTCATGACGCATTCCCATCCTTTCTTTTGTGTTGACAACATTTTCAACATAAAAAACGAGAAAAAGGAGAGAAAGAAATGATTTTTACATAACCCATTTGACACTGCTTTTTTGTTTTTGGTCGACATTTGACAAGGTTAATCAGTATCATACTCTCCCAAAGAGAAAGAGAAGATGAGTGGACAGTATTGAACCGGCGGCTGGACATGATTTTCTCGTCGCCGACGCCCGTAAATATTGACCACCGCAAAGAAAAGGTTGGACTGCACTTATTCGCAGGACCGAAGCAACCAGGAAGGGATGATGAAAGTGAGACTGTGAGAGTACAGCAAAAATGAAAAAAAAACGAATATGGATCCAAAAGAAAACAATCGATTAACATGCACGTGCCTAAATTATGCACTCACTTACTCACTCACTCCATTCTGCTTTAGATTCTACAGTCAAACACATTTCCTAGAGCCCCTTTTTTATGCAGAGAGAGAGAGAGAGAGGGAGCTGTTTTATGAAATCCATAGATTATTCAGAGTAAAATCTTAAGCATATATACAAATACCCACATAATAGTATACTGTGGAAGACTAGCTAGAGAGAGCTTTGGTCATATTTAGAACAAGTAGTCTCTTCGAAGCGAGAGAGAGAGAGAGAGAGAGAGAGAGAGAGAGAGATGGCGAGGACACCATGTTGTGAGAAGATGGGGATGAAGAAAGGGCCATGGACTCCAGAGGAAGACCAGATCCTGATCTCTCACATCCACCAGTTTGGTCATGGAAACTGGCGTGCACTTCCTAAACAAGCAGGTACTTAATTCATATACTTACATGAACTTGCAAAGAAAGAACAAGAAAGAATTTCGTAGTGTAATCAATCTTAAGTGTTGTCAGGTTGAATTGGTGTGTGTGATGCAGCATATAGAATTGTTAAGAAACCTTAATATGTCTTCTGTAGGTCTGTTGAGATGTGGGAAGAGTTGCAGACTCCGGTGGATAAACTACTTGCGACCCGACGTGAAACGAGGGAACTTCACCGACGACGAAAGAGACGCCATCATCCACCTTCATCAAGTTCTCGGCAACAGGTAATTACATGTCTGTGTATATAGTATAGTTTTAAGTCTTTGTGGTCTGATATTTATGTTTTACCTCTTCATGGCATTATTCTTACAAACTATAAAGAAACGGGAACAAATTCGAAGCTGCAGTAGAAAATGAAGCTTCATAATTTAATGTATGTAACCCAATACTAGTTGGGATTTTAATGGGAGGACAGGTGGTGAATCGCGCTATATTAGTTTGGTAATCTCTAACAGGCAAACATAAGGAATTACTAACCAAACAAACTCACTTCACACCTCGAAATACACTTTTATTATAGAGAAAAATGTGTTTTCACCTCTTCTTAACCCGAAATGGTTAAGGAGAGGAAATGTTCCTTTTTTTAGGGTATTTCTAGTAACAAATCCAGTGGAGACGGGACAGGACAAGGTCTGTGGCCTCGAGAGTTAGACCATGTGGCTACGAACGACAGTATCAGGAACTCAGTTCTCTTAGCACGGCAAAATGCTTTGATAACAAGGCAGAAACCTCAATCCCAAGAGGTGTAGCTTTTAGCATCTTGTGAAATCTTGTGTGTTCAGTCCTATTTGTATATGCCTTAATTGACATGCATCCTGATAGAATATTTGGTAAATTAAAAGAGAAATTAAACGTTGATAAATGACTCTAATGAGAATTGGTAACCCAAAAATAGTTGATAATTTAATTCGACAAAAGTTGACAAACCACTCTAATCTAGATTGATAATTTCATAAAAATTAGCAAATTCGAAACGTTAATAAGCTATACAAATGAAAATTGGTAAATTAATACAAAAATTGTTAATTTACAGACAATAAAAAAAAATTGTAATTTCATAAACGTGTTGATGAAATACTTGTCAATATGTTTCACCAATGATATTTTGACACTTATTAGCACGTTCTGAAACTTACCACTATGGAAAAAGATCCATATTTTTAGACGAAAACTACAGAATTTTACCTATGTTTGTCCATTTTAAAGTTCATATTTCTCAATATTTTCTTTTTTGTTTTGGAAATTCCAGATGGTCGGCCATAGCCTCGAGATTACCGGGGCGAACGGACAATGAAATAAAGAACTTCTGGCACACCCACCTGAAGAAGCGGGTGCCACACAGCCTACCCAACTCAACTCCCTTCAACATAAGCCCAACTCATTGCACCACCACCCTCGATCACTCACTCCAGAACCCAACCTCCGCGCTGCCGACGCTAAAGTTTCAGGAACCGTCGACGACATCGTCATCGGAGTCAGACCCCTCGATAGTGGTTCATGCGAACATCGAAAGCAACTCTCAAACTGCACCATCTTCTCGTGCCCAGAAGTTCGCGCAGACGAAAAAGAATCTTGTTGTGGGTTCGGCCCTGGCTCTTCCGACATCTCCCGACGAGACAGTGGACTTGCAATGTTCGGGGCAGAGAGTTCTGAGCATGAAGGGAGACAAGGACATGGAGTTCTGGTACAGTCTTCTGGTGAGAGCAGAAGATGGACCTCAGTTGGAGAACGCCGCCAGGACGCCATAGGAAGAAGCCCTAGGAGTTCAAGAATGACGAGCACCTTTCTTTTATGGCCATGTCGGAGAAGTGTTTTGCATTGTGGTGTGGAACAAAAAGTGATCTTTTTTTTCTATCTTCCCATCGATTTTATTTATCAAAGTCTTCAGAAAACCAGACGGATTAAGCTTGGCATCAACATCAAACTAGGACTTTTAGACATTTGATTATATTGGTACATTGTCGATTGATGTCCAGGGGAAACAAAATCTGACTTGAATACTTCAGAAAGGAAAGAGATTGGTTGGAAAAGAAGCTTGAAATAAAACAGAGAAATTAAAAGAAAAAAATAGCGTTAAAATAACTTTTAGAAAATGATTCGAAGATCGATGACGGTGGTACTCGAACATTGCCTTTTCATAAGAATGAACGTTATATTTTTATAACATAATTTATTTGCATTTTCACTGTTCTCTTTATTATCCAGTGAAGATTTGAATAGTCGGGTAATGCAATGCACATTAGTTGAGGAGTGAGGCGATATTTCTCCTTTTTTCCCTACCATAGCCGACATGAATAATAAATAAAATAAGATTTTGATAACAAGTATCTCCGGTGCATGTCGCGACCTACCCTTTGAGGGACCGCCCTCGAACGAATAGGTTTAGAGGTACCTTTCTATGAGACAATGTGAATGGTACGTACAAGCAACGATCTCAAATGCAAACGGCTCAATCGATCACAAACGGGGGCTCTCCCAAGCTTATATCTCGCGTGACATTTTTAGTTTATGTATTCACTAGGAGTCGCCGCTAGCAATTATTGGGAGTAGGCTAGAACCCAATCAAGACGTGGGAGTGTCGTCTCGATTCCTACGTAACTAGAGATTTCTAGTAACAAGGACTTGATTACAATAGTTATCTAACTAGTTCCCTTTCGGTATCTAAACTTGCTTATTTATTAACTAAAGTGTCAGGGCAGTTTTTCACCAATTAGGGATCCTAAAATTAATCCTAAGCATTCTAAAAAAAATAACAATCAATATATTGAAAGTGTGTGATCGAGTAAAATTGAAACAAAACTAGGACAAATAGCGATCTAGCATTTGTCTCTAAGAACAATCAAAATTCTATTGTAAAGCCTAAAGGCTTGTACAATTTTTTTTTCAAATTGTGGCTAAACCTAAAATGTTTATTAAAATCCCTAAACTAGGCGAATTCTAATTTTAAAATATCTAAACTAATTCTAAACTAGAATTATTACTAAAAATATAATAAAACTAGTTAAAATCTAATTTCTATTCTTTTTCTGATTTTTATTTTATTTTTTATTCTAGGAAAATGGACTTCGAACCTGGTTCGACTCGACAACCTAACCCGGACCCTAATGGTCCGAGTTGTGTCTGAAAATTGGATCGGTCCTAAGGCCTTGTCCAATTTTGCCAAAATAAGCCTATGTTATTGAACCCACAACACTCCAATCCAATCCATTAAACTCTTTGACCCGGCTCGACCTCAAACCCACGGTTGCCCTGGTCCGACTTGACCCAAATCTAACCTAACCCATTAACAGGATCTTGACCCAACTCTATTTTTATTATTTCCCTTTCTTTATTTTTCTATTTTTATATGTATATTTTTTTCTTTTATTATTTTCTCTTCTGCAGATCGTCTTCTTCCCGAGCCTTCTTCTCCACTGAGATATTCATTAGCTCGAGTTCCACAATGCCATTAGCCGATGTCATTGGCAATTACTAGACCTGTCAAACGGGTAGGTCGGTAGGGTTTGGGTCAGGTCGAAAATGGTCCGACCCAAATAGACTCATTTAACCCGTTTTGACCCATTTCCATGTAATGCAAATCTAATGACATATACCTAACCCATACCCAACCCAAACCCGACTCGACTCATGTTGCTAAAATACCTCCATATTTAACTAAATCTACGAAAACTCATATCTAAACTGAGATAAAAGTGCAGAGTGAGTGAGTGTAGGATTGAGTGAGGGCGAGGGAGATGAGTTGAGTTTAAATAAGTTGAAAACCCATTTATGACCCATTTAATACTCATATTATGTTTATATTTATTTATGACCCATTTACTAAATATAACTAACCTATTTATGATCTATTTACTGATATATGGGTTAAGAAATGGATTTATGATCCATTTTGATAGGTCTAGTAATCATCAAATTTATCCAATCGGTCTACAACTCCAACCATTGCCGGACTATCTCTGGCGACATTAACACTCAAATCACTGAGAACAAACTTTGTAAACAACAATCACCACCAAACTGAAGACAAACATACTTATGCACACTAAAGGCGAGGAAATAAAGGATTGACCGTGGCGGCCTCAAACCGCAACTTCACCAGCAAAAGGAACGGCATCTCTGGCAAACCAATGAGGTGCTTATCCATGGCTGACTTGAACAACAAACAATATGCCACAAAATAAAAGAGAAACACAGATTCAGTCACAACATAACAGTCTCAAAACAAATCAAGTGTAAAATTAAGATTATAAGCATCGATTTTATAAAATTGGTTTCGGTGTTTCATTCAGGCATTTTGTCGAACAACTAACATGCAGTTTAAAAAAAGAGATTCCGATTCAAATTCGCTATGGTTCACGACCTAGACACGATATATGACACTCTAAATCGAAATTATTTACTACAGATCAGCTTCACAGATATACCGGTTTAGGGTTTTTGGCAATCAAAAAATTAATCTGGGTAATTTTGTCACAAGTATACTAGTTTGGGGTTTTTTGTGGTATTAACTTTTTTATATATTATTCATGCTAGCTACTGTCAATACAAGGACATTGCCTTGTTAATTGGGGAAAAAAAAGGAGAAATATTGCTTCACTCCTCAAGTAATGTGCATTGCATTGCATGATTATTGTTTCGTTGGAATTGCTCCCGTAGAGAAATATAATTCATCGAAAGTTGTTTTTCAGCTTTTAACGGGAAAAGATCAGGTTCTGTGGCGACTTCGGACAGGAAAATCCAAGCGAAAAAAGAAATCCACTTGCTTCAACCAATACAAAACAAACTTGAGTGCTTGTGATCCATTATAAGTTTTCAATATACTGTCTTTTTCGTATACGTGTAATCAATGCGTTGGATATCGATATGTTTCGTTGTTAAGTATGGTTAACCAAAAGCCCAAGACACTCATTAACAAAACCTGATAAAATAAACGAGAAAAATGAACCTCAGCTAATCATTATAATCGTTTCAACTAAGGAAAATTCACACCTCAATATAACTCGGACTCCGTTTATTTCGCGGAAAATGAATGATTTGAAAAATATTTTCCTAAAAATGATCGCTTACCAAAATTTATGAACGTAAAATATTTTCATCATCCACAAAAATATTTAGATATAAATTGTTGACGATAATAACAATGTTTTTCATTAATTAATTCTATCAAGCGATACAAGATATCATTTTTAAGAAAATATTTTTTAAATTATTCGTTGTTTGCGAAACAAATGAAGTCTTAGATTAGCTATGAAAATTCAGAATAGTATATGGAAAAGAAAAAGAGAAAGAGGAGACACGGACGCAGGAACACACATATAGAGAGAGATCGACCATGATTGTTTAGTGGTTCCTCGTAGGACACCGTCGGTCAGAGTTTAGGCACATAGAGAGTGGGATGTTTTCCTGAAAAAGAACTAAAAGAAGAAGGAAGGGAAAAATTTATGTTGTTCCAAAATTAAAAAGTTTAAACCCTAACTCTGAAAGAAACATTTTATCCTTTGACTTTACAATCGAAACCTTTGGAAACTTTTTCATTAGCACATGCCACGCACATGACCTTCAGGAGTAAAGTGATATTTCTTCTTCTTCTTCTTCTTTTCTATAACAAGGCAATTTCTTTGTATTAATCTTAGCTGACATGAGTAATAAATAAAATAATAATTTGTTAACAAGTGCTTCTAGCACCGGTCAAATAATCCTTCAAAAAATTCTGCAATTTTCAATACATTGTCTTTTTGGTATTATGTGCAATGAATGTATCAGATATCGAAATATTTCTTTATTAAGTATGGTTAACTAATGCCTCGAGAGACTCATTAACAAGACCTAATATAATAAAGAAGAAAGGCATACCTCCCTTTATCATCATAATCGATTTTAAACAAATGTCGGATCCGCATGACAAAATGAGAAAGTAATTATTTCCAATGAAAATTCAAAAAATCCATAATCAACACTACTCAGATAATACCAATTTAGAGGGATACAATAAGAGAGAATTTAGGATATGCCGGTCGTATATACCACGAGCATTGGACTCTTAAAAGGAAAATGCAACACAAGTTTATGTTAATATTGCAATTTAACTTCCTACCATGAGTGACTATGTTCCATTCTATATTTACTCTGATCTTGTACATGAGTCAAGCATTTACTTATAATAAAATATCCATCACCTCCTAACATCCAAATGTCACTGCACGTTGTCATTGACCATTCTAACAAACGACAAGTGCAACTATGGAATCATCTACTGGAATTCAAATGGTTTATTGATGTCCATTTTTCAGTTCGCTGCATACTAGTTGTGCGGCGGTACCCAAAATTTAAGCCCTTGCCCTGGGGAATGTATCTCACGGTTCATTGCAAGTCCAAAGACATTTGGGCTGGGGTTTTATTATCCCCCGCAAAATCGATATTGGGGTTTTCAATTCCAACCTAGCTTCTGGGAGGGCAACTCTTGCCGGCCCTCACCTGTGGCTGGCCATCGTGAAGGCCCGGCGATCGGTGGAGGAAGAAGGAAAAAAATAAAAAAGTAAAGAAAAAAATTAAAATTATTTTAAAAATTGATTTTTTTAAAAAGTTGCAAAAATTGTCCATGTCAGCACCGGCTGTACCACGTAGGACAATTGGCATCCACGTATGCAATGTTCAGCCAAAATTAGTTGGAAGGACTAAATTGACAAATTGTCAAAAGGTTTAGGACTTAATTGGTACAATTGAAAGGTTTATGACTGAATTTGTATAATTGCAATAAATTTAGGACTTTTGGGTAATTTTTCCTGATATGGGATGCACATCACAATATAAGAAAGAAATCATCTCAAAGGAAAATTTTAGAAAAAGACCCAAAATTAACACTACAAAGGATAACACCAGAGACTCTTAAAAGGAAACGGCAAGTATACGGTAAAATTGCATTTTAACTTCCTTCTTTGAGTGTCTGTA